GGGTTAAGCTTTTCTGTGCCCTCGCTTCCTAACTATGAGTTGTAGACTAAAACTCTATGAAATTCCTTCTGCCTCTCCATTTTTCACACTTTGTTCTAATTTCCTACATCATTTTCTTTTATTCCATTAATCTTGGCTCTAATAATTTTTAATCCATGTTTATTAAGGACCTTTCATATGCCCTGAAATAGTCTTTTTTCTTCTGTTCAATTTGTTATGGTGGGATTATTCAAAAACAATTTCATAATTTGTAGATCTTGAAAGAAAGAAAAGGTCGACTTGGGGAGTGGGGGAGCATTGTATCTGGAGTGATGAGTCGTGTCAGTTTTGGACAGATATTCTCCAAAGCACTTGCCTTTTTCAAAACCTCATAGAAAATTTTCAGGACACTGTTTTCAGTGCAGCTTCTGCTTTCTTAGCAGTTTATAAAATCTTCTTTTTGCCCTTAAAATTTTAAACCCTGTGTGGGAGTGGGGTGTGTGCGTGTGTGTGTGTGTGTGAGAGAGAGAGAGAGAGAGAGAGAGAGAGAGAGTCAGAGAGGCTATTTAAAGGGATTCTGTTACTTTTATATTCACTTCAAGGACACATCATAGTTAACAAGATTTTCCAACTAGTTTATTCAACTCCTTTCCTCACTCACCCTCAAATATGCATGCTTCTTTTTGCCAGGCACTTGGCTAAATGCTTAACATACATGATCACATTTAATGATCTAAAAAATTCTATCACAAAACTATCATGGTCCATTTCCAATGAGGTATCTGATTTTCAAAAAGATTAAATAGCAGGATCAGACAGCTAAGAAATGACAGATTGGGGATTAAAATGCATGTATCTCTATCTCTAAAGTCCGTGTTTAATACCTTACAGATTTGGTCTTCTCTATTCTACTAATAACTGTTTCTGATGACTGAACTTCTGCATCTTACTTCATGAGCTCTTAGATTCTTTCACATTTAACCCTTTGTTTCAAAGAGTCACTGTTGTAAAACACTGACTTTTTGTGCTAATTATCTTGTGTTCCATTAGTTTTTTTATTTCACCTTTCAATTTCAATATTTGTATTACCTTACTAATATGACAGAGTATTCCTTTTCTTTTGACATGCTATTCTTATATCTACTTTCATTTTTTTTTGAGAGATGTCAGATTTTGGAAGTTACATACAAAATATTGTATGTAAATGTCACTGGGACACAGGGTGCCCAGGAAGCTGGTTAATTTTTTTTTTTTTTTTTAAATCATGACCGTGAGAGTGTTTCTGGGAGAGCTCAACATTTGAATGGGCCAACTGAGTAAAGCAGATTGCACTGCCCTACGTGAGTGGGCATCATTACAAACTCTGAAGGTCCAAAGAGAATAAAAAGAAGGGGCATATTGAATTGCCTTTCTGTACCTGACTGCTTGAGACGAAACATGAGTCTAGGATCTGGACATCAGCACTCAGGATTTTCATGGCTAGCAATATGGGCTAGAGTTTACACCACCAGAGTTCCTGGGTCTCCAGGTAGCAGATTGCAGCTTTCCCAACCACAATTTTCCATACTTGCATGATCCCATCCTTTATAGTAACTCTCATTCAAGAGATCTCCAGATCCAACCTGTTGGTTCTGTATTTCTGGAAAAGCCTGGGTAAAACCCAATTCATACTAAAAGCCGCATCAGTGTTTTTCGTTAGTCCTTTTTCTCATCTGCTAGTACTACATTGGATAATTAAATATAGTTTGTTGCATATTGAGATTTCTTTCTCACTGATCAAGCTTAACTTTTTTAATTTTTATCATATGTTTTGTTCATCTTTGTTTCAAATTAACACATTTCAGTATTATTATTGTTATTATTGCAAGTGCTTCTACAATGTACCAAATATTAGATTAACACAACGAGTAGAAATGTTCTTCTGCCTATGGAATACATGCTTATAAGAGTGAACATTTTTATCAACTATGTAATCATAGAAGGCATGTCAAATATAAACTCTGAAATACTTGTGGTCATTCCATAAAGGTGAAAAGACACTCAGACCAAATCATGGCACATGGTTCACTCTCAAAGGCATTTTCTTCTTTGTCATATCCATATTGAAAACTTTCATATGCTTCAGGGAAAAGGAAATTAAAAATAACAAACAACAAATATAAACCTCATCTCCCAACATAACCTCCATCTGCTTTAAGATACTTTTGTCACAAGACATTTAATTCATCCCTAAAGAAATAAAATCCTATGAACTTAACCATGGCAATGCAGTCTTCACTTACATTAACTATGAAAATAAGAAATGGGTGCCCTTTAAGAGGTTTTTAAGATTGGGAAACAAACCAAAAACAACACACAGGAAGAGCCAAATAAGGATTATAAGGTCAATACTTTATGATTTCCCATCAAATCTCTCCCAAAATTGTTGAAAGGAATGTGCAGCAACATCACTGTGGAAGCAAGGCGTTCTCTGGTGACATTCTCCTGTTTTTTCTATTAAGGCTGTGGCCAACTTTCTTAAAACATTTTTCTAACCAGCAGGTGCTGCTGCTATGTGTCCCTCCAGAAAATTCTTTGAGCATCCACCAAAACCATGACCTTGTGCTCTTGTCCAGTCTGCTTGTGCTTTGACTGGACCACTTCCACCTCTTAGTAGCCATTGCTTTGATTCTGCTTTGTTTTCAAGATCATACTGTAAAGTTACGCTTCATGTCCTGTCATAGTTCTTTGAAGAATTACTTCGGGATCTTGATCTCCCCTTGTTTGAAATTTCCATTGAAAGTTCTCTTGTCTGCAACTGATCTGTGGCCTGTCAAGCAGAAAGTTTGTTCCACTTTCATGTTTCAGGCAGAATTATGTCAGCTGCACCATTGACATCAGCTGTGGTGTTAACATTGTTTCTGCAGTTAATCGCTGGTCCTGTCCAAGTAGAGTTGGAACAAGATTTAATTGATGAGTGATTTGTTGCTGTGAGTTTCATCTTCTACATCATCTCCATTAGTAAACTGCTGATTGTGTCAGGAAACTGCCCCAAAACTTCTCAGAAAGCATGCTGATTTCACTATTCTTCCACTTAAACTTCTACAATACTTTGATGTTTTTACTTGCTTCAATATTAGCAGAACTCATCTCGCTCTGAAATGAGAAAGGAGCTTTTATAAAACTAGTGGCTTATCTTTATAGTGCTACAAACTAGATCCTGATCACATGCGTTATATAAAGTTAATACAAGTTTATTCTGTTGCATAAAATTTATTAAATCCATGCATAGTTTTCTCATAATATGCATTTCCCATCAACATTTTGAACAGCCCTAATATAGAATCACTTTGTTAAGGAGCTCAGTTTTCCATCAAAATCACTTATTTTTAAGAATAACTTTCTGATACAAACAGAGGAGCAATATATTACATCTATTTCAGATGAATATGCTTCCTTTGTTAGGGTCATAGACTTTTATTAATTTGAATGGAGAAGATATTTCTTCATATAAGACAGAGAAGCAGATGTTAGAGATCAAAGCAAAATGAAAGCACAGCAAGTATGCTCTTATATATTCATATAAAGACAAAATTTTTAGATTAACATTCAGAACTTAAGAGTAATGTTTGTGGCTCAAGACAATGCTTGTGATTCCAGTATCCAATGTCGGAGTGCTGGTTTGGGTCCAGGCTGCTCCACTTCCAACCCAACTTCCTGCTGGATTGCACCCGGGAAGGCATTGGATTATTGCTAAAGGATTTGGGCCTCTTCTATACATATGGGAGACCCAGATGGGGTGCCTGGCTCCTGATTTCATTCTGGCCCAGTTGTGGCTGAAACACGAAGTGAACCAATAGATGGAAGATTCTCTCTCTCTCTCCCTCTCCCTTCCCCTCTTTCCTACTCATTCTTGTTGCTCTGTACATTTCAAATAAGTAGTTAATCTTTTTTTTATAAAAGGAGTGAGGTTTGCATGCATTATGTACTCAGAGAAAATGCCTCTCTTTTGATACTGATATGGATTTTCTCCATAATTAGTGAAAAGAAACTTCAGTGATACATTGAATCTGTATTTCTCCAAACAAGTAAGTCTGAAATTTGTCACAGAAGAATCTTAATGAGTTCTGTTTGCAATGATTTCCAGGTGCTCATATTGTAGATGCATAAATTAAATCAAGAAAAATAGCTTAATATTGCAAAAACTCAGTCTCAAAAGATTCAAGCATTACTGAAACTTGTCCTTTGTTTCATATTATTGCTAAAGTAAACAGAATTGAGACACACCAAATATTTGAAAATCTAGACTTTATCCCTACTTTAGAATCATATCAAAATTTTCAGATTTCCACCTTAGTTAAATCTGACAATTCCTTTATTTGGTAGACAATATTATTATATAGAAACAGTTCAAATCTTTCTAAATTTTCCAAAATTGTCTCTCAGAAGTTTGCTCTGGGACATTTGACTGAGGCATGTTGTTCTATAAGTTCCATGACAATTTATACTGGCAAAGATTAAGTGTACATATGGCATGCCCATGGAGGAGCTCCTAATGACAGAATTCAGTAAGGAAGGAAATTAACACATTTTTGTTTGAATTTATTTTATTAATTTTGAACTAGGAACCAGAAACTTGGGCTATCCAGAGACTGTAAAATTTGATGTATTTAACCACAATTAAATAGCTTGTTTAACACTAGGCTATTTCCAAAAATAAAAATAAAATAAAAAAAACCACTAGGTTATGAAATCAACAAAATGACTTGATGAAAATTATTGATCATATATTCCCAATGACAGCAATGTACTCTGTACCATATAACCTTATATACATAAATATAAATGACTATAGAATAAGGTTTTTTTATTAAAATACTGAGTTTATTTCACATATATATTTGTCTCCCCACCATTTCCACGTCTGACCACTGCTACTACTGTGTCTTATCATAACATTCCACACATTCTTAAAACCAAGCAAAGGGTGGAGTTCCTTCTTTAAAAACTGAACAGGCATTTTGGACAACACACTCTTGGCAATGGAACCTGGACAACATTTATCAAACACGGTAGGGAAAGTTCTCACTCCGCATTATATAAAGGACAGCCAGATATCAACTGTTACAGAAATGAAATAAGATGGAAAATTTTAACAAACTGCTTAAACTATTTTCTTAAAGAATCTTCCTCCACTGCCAAAGATCTTGAATAGCCTCCTGGTCAGTCATCCGGAAGCAATTCTTCACATAATTGATAAATTTGGCTTCCACTTTGGGAAGAGAACCACCTTTTTCTTTACTTGCTTGCATTTTTGCCTTAATGTCTTCTACAGAACTAGGACCTTTTGGTGTTTAAGGAGTTTTTTCCTGTTTTTTGAAGGATTCTTGACCTTTTGATCTTGGTGTTGATGGTTTTGAGTCTTTCCCATTCTGGTTTGATTTCTGTGCATTTTTGGCTGGGGTATCTTGTATAGATTTCTTCCCTGGAGCTTTTTCTTCAGTTTCCTCCTCCTCATCATCATCTTCATCATCTTCTTCAGCAGCAAGCTTTACTTTGTTCTGTGGTACCTTGCTGCCACCTCCAGGGGCACATCGTTTTCCAGATATACTTAATAGCTTCACATCCTCTTCCTCTTCGACTTCTGACTCTGCGTCTTCCTCCACAGCTTCTAAGTGCTGTCCACTAATATGCACAGGCCCTGAACCACACCTAAACCTTACGACCACAAGAGGCGTTATTTCAAAGCCCCCAAGGGAAATCATTGGCTGTACAGACATTTTCAAAGTTGCCAATGTGACTTTAATCGGGCTGCCTTCATAATTCATTGCCTCTGCATCAACAATGTGCAGTTCATCCTTTGCGCCAGCGCCTAAACTGACCGTTCTTAAAGATAACTGGTGCTCATTTTCATCACTGTCCACTTTGAAGTGATGATAATCTTTGTCAGTCTTTAGTTCACAACCAAAAAGATAGTTCTGCAGCTTCAGGGGGCTCATGTCCATGTCCATCAAATCTTCCATGAGGCGGAGGGATGAACTTGGGTTGGGAGAGAAAGCGGTGGGAGATTAAACACCCACTGCTGCAAAGAACAGCTGCCCAGGACGGAATCACGCCAGGGACCAGAGTGAGTTTTAAAACATATTTCCAGGTTTTCTTCATTAACAAAGTTGCACTTGGATCAATATTCAAGATCAATCCAGACTTATGATTAGCATTCTACAATCCTATTGCCTCACAACAAGAATTTTGCTTATCATTTCAATTTGTTCATTATTATGACACTGAAGTTCTCATGTTAAGTATGGAGTTTCGTCAGTGTCCCTTCCTCTATCTTTGTCAAAATGTTAGCTTTTCACCTTTTTACTTTAACATAAATGGCTATATGCAGTTGGAAATTTCTGCCCTTCGTACCTGGCTATTCATATCTTTTACCTCTCTCTTTGCTTCCTCATAGCCAAGAACAGCTGTCCACACTCTGTGATGAGAAAAGATTCCTTTTAAAGTTTTCTTATTGGAAAATCCACCTCTTTCTCACAGTCAGAGCTTAAAATGGATATTACCAATGGCCATGACCACAAGTGGGTCCCTTACTAGACAGTATCTTATCACTTACTGTATATCACCCAAGCTTCTCCCATAGTGGCAACGTCTAACAGAATTTCTCTTTAATTTCCCCATGCGTATGCAATACTGTATGAGCTAAAGAGATATCAGAAATGTGTGTGTGTGTTATTCACACACAAATGATTAAATGCCAAACAATCAAATACTTATTGAATAAAATTTAGTGTTCAGTAATATAATACCAAATATTTTAAAAACTCATTTTTATTACCTAGAACCCTATGTATTATTGTTAATTAAGAATCCTAGGTTTATTTATTAAAGACACACACCTCTACTCAAATAGGAACTTTTTTTCCAGTGTTAATAATGTAAAACATTTGGTTCAAAATTATCCAAAATGTCTCTATGGATTCTCTGTCTCCTATATTCTGTTCGGTATAGTTCAGAGTAAGCCACATATTTCAAAAATTTTGTAAAGCAAATTGACAGATCCAAATTTGTTTAAATCTAAATATGTCTTCTAATTATTTTTTAAAATTTGAATGATGTATTCAAAAGAATTCTTTTCAATAAAGAACATAAGTTTGGATATAAAAATTAGGAATCAATAGTTCACATGTTCGTGATACCTAATAATCAGAAACAGATGTAGCGTTTTGCTTTTTTAAGTTAACAACTAGAAAACCGACCAACATTTTTCTCCCAATCCATGCCTTCAAAAATTTCATACGCATATTCAGAGCAGCCAAATATGATTATAGATAATATCTTGACTCAAATAAACCCTCTATCTGAGCTAGCCACGGGATATTTCTGGTGACTGTCTTTTGAATGCCATTGTGATTATCAGCAAAGATTTTGGTAATAACTAGTAAATATCCTACCTGCATGTGAAAGTGGGGTAGAGGGCCACTGGGGACTTTTAATCATCTCCTTGGGTGACTGTCTTCCCTATTAAAGTTATTTGACCAAGGCAAAACTCTGACAAACTTGTTTACTCCCCAAATACTCTACCTGGTAATAATTAGGTATGTAGAACATCTGTGCTAAATGTGAGTTTTACAAGGAAAAGCTTTCAGCTGTAGAAAAACGGTAGCTATGGCCTCATTTCAAATGCACACGTGTGAATTATTATTCTTGTCTGAAACTGACATACCTGGGGATTCCTATTTGATTGTTTAGAAGCATCGCCTGGGCCTACAGATGTAATGATTTAGACAAAATGTAAACAGTGTTAATCTGGGTACCAAGAGATTAGAATTCCTAACTCAGGCCTGCCATTGACTGATTTTTAGATAAGTTATTAATGCATGTTGAGACTCAGTTTTGCTGCCTGGATGTAGGATTAGTAAAAATAAATGCAATTTTGTGTACAGAATTATATAATACATTTCATATACATATTTATAATTCATAGATGTATTGAAAAGAAAATGGGAGCATACTGAAACTGTATGAACATGAGCTACTCTGTGTAGTAACCTTAGATACACTGAGATTTCAACAGCTTCAAAACTGTATAAATGTTTATTTCTTCCCCAATGTATATTTTTAAACCGCAGTTGCCCTGGGAATTTAAAAAATCATTTACACATTTCTGAGCAATAAGTATGTCATTTTCATCTATCTATTTGGAATCTTCCAAATAATCCTTTGTGAGGAAATACAAACTAACTTCTAATTCCTCCCAAAGGCATTACTTGGTTACGCAGCAGAAGAGCTATATGTAAGGACAGGGTGCATTTGAAAGCTAATTATATTCATGTTCTTATTTGCATAGCTTTTCTCTAGTCAATGTCACCCAGAAACTACTAAGCATAAAAGAACCAGTATCACTTCTGGCAGTAGTGTTTTACAATCTCCCCTTTGCTCTCAACAACAAAATCAGAATCAAAGGTTAGCAATCTGTGGCCCACAGGCCAGATTTGACCCACCACACTATCCGCCTTTATAAATGAAGAATTCCTGAAACATAACCAAACTCTCATTTGTGCATTGTCTGTCATTGCCCTAGCACTGCAACATGGAGTGGAGCACATGAGAAAAGACTGTAAAACCCCAGAACCCTGAGAGTCTTACCTGGACCTATGCAAATAAGATGTGTTGATGTCCAGTCTAAGTCATCAATTCCAGCTCTGAAAAAACTACAGGGAGGCAGCATGTTGTAATGGAGAAAAATCTGATTTAGTGTCTGAGGCTTTCTTTCAAGTCCCAAACCCCAATTTATTCACATATAAAATGATGACAGGTTAGCCTTGTCCTTTCCATAAATATGTAAGGACTTTAGAGGCTGAGAAATCGTGTGTTGCATCTCTCTCATTTGTGGGGTACCTTGATAAGCAGACCCCACTTTGCTCTGCTGCAGCACCTGAGTTATGCATAAGTTATGCATGAGTTATGCATAAGTTGAAACATGGTGCTATTTCCCCACCACAGACTGCTACACTGGAACCCTTCAGTAGATTCTAAGGAAAGAAAATAAAAACATGGGGCTGGCATTGTGGCACAACTTGTTAAGCCATCACCTGCAAGCACAGCATCCCAAATGAGCACCAGTTGGAGTTTTGATTGTTCCACTTCTGATCCAAGTTCCTGCTAATGCACCTAGGAAGGCAGCAGAAGATGGCCTAAAGGCATGGACCCTGCCACCCACCCACACGGGAGACCTGGCTGAAGTTCCAGGCTCCCATCTTAGGCCTGGCCTAGTCCCAGTCATGGCAGCAATTTAGAGACTGAACCAGCAAATGGAAGATCTATTATCTATTTGTCCATTCATTTATTTTCAAATTTCAAAGGCAAAGAGACATAGAAAGTAACCTTCAGAAGCCTGAGTTGGTACAGGATAAAGCCAGGAGTCAGGAACTCAGAGTCCCCAGGTGAGTGACAAGAGCATATCCATCACTTGCCGCCTCCCAGGTTAGCATTAACAGGAGCTAGAACTGGGGGAGGGGCCAATACCCAAACCCAGGCACTCAGATATGGGTTGGGGGCATACTAAGCAATGTCTTAATCACTGCATCAAATGTCCACCCTTTAAATCACTTTTTAATTCTATATTTACATGAACTATTTCAAGTTCTTTTGCATTTAAAACATCTAGATGAATACAATACAAATTTGAAAATAGATCTACCATATGACCCAGCCATCCTACTCCTGGAAATTTACCCAAACAAAATGAAACCAGCATTTGAAAGAGTGATCTGTACTCCCCATGTTTATTGCAGCTCAATTCACAGGAGTGAAGATATGGAATCAACGCAGATGTCCATCAATTGATCACTGGATAAAGAAAATGCTATGTAAACACAGTGGAATACTACTCAGCCATAAAACAGAATGAAATCCTGTCTTTTGCAACAAAATGCAAGCACCTGCAGATCATTATGCATAGTGAAATAAGCCAGATCCTAAAAGAAAAATATCATATGTTTTCTCTGATTTTTGGTAGCTGATTTCTAGTAGAATACAAAAATAATAAAGTATGTGAGTGAAATTGACATCTTCACACACGATTATTGTTAATAGCCATTGTCTATACACTCCTTTAAAACAGTGCCCTTTCTACTTTCTACATGTTGAGTTCTTTATTAAGTGGAGGATTGAGTCTATGATTATAAAGTAAATTTAAAGTAGGTTATTGAAAAAATTTAAAGGGGAGGAAAGGAAAGGAAAGGAATGGAAAGGAAAGGAAAGGAAAGGAAAGGAAAGGAAAGGAAAGGAAAGGAAACAATGAGGAAAGAAAGAGAGAGAGGGAGAGGAAGGAAGAAAAGAAGAGAAAAGAAAGAAGAGAAGAGAAAGAAGAAAAAAGAAAGGGAGAGAAAGGGAGAGAGAACAGGAAGTATCATTATGTGCTTAAAATACTTGGTATGAAATACATGAAATCTGTTCTCCTTATAGAAATAGATTTTTAAAGAGTCAATTGCCCTAATTGTGCAATCTCCCTTTCTATAGAATTTTCCTATATAAAACATGTCTCCAATAAGTCAGGTGCAACAACAATTCATCTCAGTGGAGGTGTGAACCTTTGGAAATTCACCAGACTATTATAGAACATCTCAGTATCCTTCAAGAACCAGCATCCACCCTCGGTTCTCAGGACGATGATTTTTCCCTCCATAGCCTGGTTACTAGTGGTTCCCTCAGCAGATTCAGTTCATTCCAACAGCAGCTGCCTTTTACCCTAAGTAGCACAGACTGATAGATCTGCTTCCCTGGACCTGAAGCCTCCAGGGGTAATTCCTAGTCATCTCCTAGAATGTGAATTCATGGAGACCTCGAGTGTAAGATTATATATTTTACATATTCCAATACAATGAGATTTTTTCACTCACAATTTCTACCCCAAATTTAGATTGATTCCATGATCTCATTTGAAAGTATTCAGTAATTACTATCTCTGCTTGCTATTTACTTATAGATTTTTATCACTATCTTTCTGTGTTGTTCCTTA